GGAACTTTGTCCATACTTTCCAAGCAAAGTAGCACTGAAAGAGAAGATAATCTGCTGATTCTATCTCTGATGCACAGAATGGACATAAAGCTTGCTCCAATTGAAGAAGGTATCGGTCGAGAAGAAAATCTTTTGTACATAGACAAATTTGTATTGCTAATTAACCATAAGAAAAACCTGTATTTTTAGCCTTTTTTCCCATTTTCTGATTCAAAATATAACATTTTTTTTCCCATTTTCTATAACATGGTAGGAGCATCGTCGTAAGTCCTGATCAGAAGTATCATCTTCAGGATTGATCACAGACATGATTTCTTGTCGAATTCCAGATGGAGGTTTGAAGAAGGTTGGAAGGCCCTTTTCCAAAGGTGGTTGGCACTTTTAACAAATAAAGTCCTTCCACCTAACGTTTTTTCTAGTATGGTATTTAAAAATATTGTTGTGGTTATTTTTTAAAGTATTTTTTATTTTTTAAAAATAATTTTTAATATTAATATATAAAATAATTTAAAAATATTAATTTAAAATAAAAAATAATAAAAAAATATTTTTTTAATGAACTTTCAAAACACAAAAATAAATAATTTCTAAACATCCCAAAAAAATAATAATTTCAGCAGCATGAATTTATTTTTTCATAACAGTGATTCTATCCCCAAATCACCTCAATCATTTTCCCTCACCACTGCTCACCAATCTTGATCTTCTCAATCATGAAGTTTCTCCATGATTATCTCATCATACTAATAGGCGTTTTTGGACCCTGTGATTCACGACAAAAGGTTTACGTTACAACTCATAAAGAAATCCCATATTGGCAAGTTAATGTGCATCATTCCTTACTGATCTTTCACATGGATCATGCATATTTAAATTTGATGCCAAGTTGATGAAGCCATGATTGCTTTTTGTCCTAAGCTTTTCTGTCGCCATGTCTAGTTCAGATGCAAAATAATTATCCACTGTCATTGCTCATTGTAGGTTAAAAATTACATATAATCCATGACTCATATGGAATAAAAATTAAATTATAATTTCGTCACTAATAAGTTTATCAATGTTTCACTTTCATCCCATAGTTTAAGATCTCTTGAAGTTTCTCTTGTAGTATTAAAAAAAATACCCATTTCCCTTTAACTACTAAATAAATGGAATAATTAAAAACGGATATTTCATATTCTTGTTGCACTTTTTCTTTAATTTTTTGTTTCTCTCAAGTCGCATATGAGTAGTGACACTCTTTCATGTAAAAAACAGTTAAAAACCTACAGAAATTAAAAAAAAAATCAAATTCAAAAGGTAGGGCTATGAAGGCTAACATTAGAACATTTTGAGAACAAGAAAGGCTCTAAAGTAGTTTATCCCTCAAGTTCAAATAATGCTGACATCTCAAAGATCTACAGGCTTACAAGTACAGTGGTGTAAATATCTGAAAGGCTCGAGAGAGCCTCATGGACATAAAAGGAATTGAAATATATAATAGAAGGACGTATGTGAAATTTTTAAACCTTGGAGAGCTAAAACCAAGGATGTGTTTGAAGATTTCAACAAATTTGGGATGTCCATAGCCATGCCTAATCTCCACAAAGAACCGCTCATTCCACTGGGAGTTGATTCTAAGGCATATTTATAATAATGATATTGTTTTAAATTTTGAGTTTAACTGAGTTAAAATAGGATTATATTATTTTTCAATATAATATTTTTTTATCGAAGTTGCTTTAGCCATGTCCTTGATTGGTTCTATCAGTACTGGGAATGGAAGATGCAAGGAAGCAGCAGGGTATGTCGTGCCGGTGCAGAGATTTTTCTCGGGAGGCCAGTTATAAATAATCTATGCTCAAGCTTCATGAAAGCGTAGTGTTGGAATTGAAGTTTAAATTGGATGGTTAGGCATGGATTTCTAGAAGGTGTAAAGAGTCGTCCAAATATATATTATTTTTTAATTAATACAAGGTTAATACTAGTCAAAAAGATTAACTAATCTTTCGCTTGTCTTCTCCACCTTCCACCATATCTCTTGAATTCGTAGTTAATTATTTTCTTCTCTTCTTCGACTTGATGTTCATTGTGCGGCCATGCAAGAAGCTTCGGCTGCTGAAAAGATCCACACCCTATGTGCTAAACGACTTTCAAATGATCTAGAAAGCTATATTTTATGCACTTTAACTTGTTTCTACTAGGCCAGATAATTTGATTTCAACTTGTTTGAAAGGAAAGCAGAAAAATCTGGAAATGACAAGATCAGTTTTGCTGACGCCTCTGCAAACTTCATGTTTGACAAGCTGTATTGAATAAATGTTCATAATTTGTTTATTTTTCCCAGCTTAATTAACAATAAGAGTAATTAGAGATTAATTTAATTTTAGGGTTTAATTAGTCCGATCGAATTCCCATTCCCATTAATTTCTAGCTCTGAAAAACATCCATTTTGGCTAATCATAGCGGTACAATTATCAAAGGAGGTGACTCTTAATTAATACTTGATTTTATTCTACCCTTTTAAAATATATGATAACTTTCAATATTTATTCAAAAATTATTCTTTATTAATCAGGAATGAGGCTGATTTCGAGTCCTTGCACATAACGTTAAGCAACTCATCAGCCAATAGAATATTTAATTCTATAATTTTGTGCTGATCACCCTGCCTTGCCGTTAATTATATGGCAAATTAATGAAGATTAATTATTTGTATAAGATAATTATATTTTGTGATTAGCAAATATCAAGCTATGTACTGCTCTCTGTTGGCATGAGATGGGTGTGCAAAAGGGCAAAATTAGGGCACCACTTCATGTTGTTTCCATAGCCATCAGCAAGCAAAACCGCGTGGCAAGGTGTGTGTGCACATAGCGGTAGACTGCAGGCCTAAAAGAAAGAAGATTATGCAGGCCTAATCTTGTTTAAAGCATTTTCTTAATCAGTGAAAACAATCAAGCTACCAAATGTCCAATAATTTAGTAATCACTTGTTACGTCGTGTTTATTTATTTAATTGTAATTTAATTTTGTTAGCATTACTCTCTCACTTTCTTCTTAAAAAAAATCTTATAATTATACATGGACAGAAAATAACTAATGATATTTTATTAATTATTTTATATGATTTATTTTTAATAAAAAAAATACATAATCCACAAAAAATAATACAAATATATCTACCTAGGATTCTTCTTCTTCTTCTTATATCTATTTTTTCCCCTTGAAAATAGATCACATGAGATAACAAATAGGATATTATTAATTCTTTTCTAAATACAATAAATTACTTTGCCCAAATTGCTTACTATTTTTTATATAAAATAATTTAAAGATAAATATGTTATCTCATCGAACATTATCTAACTCTTTACTTTATCAAAGCTATATATATATATATAGAATGGAGCTTTATTAGGAATCTTTTTCACTAAAGGAAAATAAAAAAAAATGTTTGCTTGCTTTTGAAGCATCCTATTGCATAAACTAAAGTTTTGTGTCGTCATTGCAAATTCTATAATCAATACCGTTAGATAAAGTAAAGTGAAGTGAAGTTAAATGTGCTAAAATTGAACAATGGAAATTTTATATGACTTGGAAAGATCAAGTGACTCTTTATATATATATATATATATATATATATATATATATTTGAGGCAAACTTTTTAGCTTTAATTCTTCTCTTTATAAGAAATCAAATTCTTATTTGCTAATCTAAACCGACTATCTTTTAAATTCCATTTAGTTGTTGTGATATTTTTTTTTAAAAAATTCTTTAAGTTGAAAAAATATCAAATTGATATTTTTAGATTTTTTTATTATAGTTTTGATGTGATAGTATTAAAAATAAAAAATTTATAAAAATTTATTATTTTAATATATTTTTAATTAAAAAATAAAAAAAAATAATAAGAAGTAGTTTTCACTTTAAAATTATATAAACTCATTAAAAAAATGTTTCATATAAAAATTTATTTTATATTTTAATTTTTGCTTCTTCAACCAAATATATTGTTGTTTATTCTATATTTGTCTTCTTTTTTGTAACTAATAATAGAATAATTTTGGATGAACTTAATTTTATATTTTTTAAGTAAATCATTTTACATATTTGATAATCTAAATTTTAAATATCTCTATTTTGCATTTTAACCCAACTCTACTAATAGGATGGATAAACTCGTGTGAACATCCCTACATAAGTGTCCCATATAAGATAAAACAAGCAAATCATGTTCACATGAGTTTATCTATTTAATTATCTTTTCCTTATTTAAGTAGGAATTAACTCAAGTTTAATCTAACCCTCATCTAACCACACATACACTTTAATTATTAAAAAACAACAACTCTATTGTATGGTATGCTTTCAATTCCTCGTCACTATTTTCAGTCTAAGAAATACTTGCTGATTAAGAGATATATATAAAGCTAACAGGAGAAATAAAGTATTTATAATATATTAAGAGGGTATTTAAGGGAATGATATTAGTTGTTTTTCAATGTATTTTTTACTCAAAAATATATTAAAATAATATTTTTTAATTTTAAAAAAATATTTTGACATTAGAACATTAAAATAATCTGAAAATATATAAATATTAATTTGAAGTAAGAAAAAAATTTAATTTTTAAAAAATATTTTTAAAATACTAAAATAAATGGACTTTAATAATTACATATAAAAACTAAAACTTAATTTGTTGATGAGAAGCTAGTAAGAGCTATCCTTAGTTAGTTGAATTAAAAAATTTATTATAAACATACTTATTTTAGTATGAATAATTTATTTAATTAAATAAAAAAGAATTAGTTTCTTAATATTTTTATTTTAACAATAAGTTAAAAAAAAAACAAAAAGGAAAAATCCATAATGTACGCGCTATCTCAAAGCCACGTCAGTGACACCATAAAGAAAACGGGAGCGTACAAGAATTGCAGTGTTTATCCCTTATTTTTTGGCCTCCTGTATATTTATTTATGGTAGCATCACCTCTCTGTCTCTATATATATCTCTCTCCTCGGCTACGTCTCTCTCAATTCTCTCCTCACTATCTTCATCTCTTCTTCTCTCATTCACGGCCATTGCTCTGTACCTTCCTGATACCCCTTGAAACTAATTTCTCTCTTCTATCCATTGATATAACTCTCTCTCTCTCTCTATCTCTCTCTTTTGTCAAAGATCAAAGCTGTGTTCTTTTTTGAATTTGCCATTGAAGCTTTGCTTTATCAATAAAGAAACTTCGAAACTTTTTTGGTACAAAGACCCTCAGAGTGTTTCTTTCTTTGTTAAACATAACCAGACTTGAAAATTCTTGGTATGTGTTTCTTTCTTTCTTTTTTAATGTATTCATCTGCTTCTTGTTTCTCTGTTACCATTTGTGTCTTTGCAAAGAAAATTTAGATCTCTTTAGTTTGTGTTGCTGAGTTAATTCATGTTTTATGGGATCAAGTTTGTTTAGTGATTCATTCTTAAACTTCGGTTTTTGATGTTTTTGGCTTCTACAACGTGAAGATTGAGATGTTGTGTCATAATTTGATGAAACTGTGTTTCAACTTTTATATATATATATATATATATATATATATATATATATATATATATAAATCTAATGAGAGAAGTGGTTCATGTCATGTTTGTTTAAAAAGGAATCACTTGAAGTAATTGGTTTCGTCAGAAGGTTTTGTCTCGCAGCTTCATTTATGAAACCCGAGGAGGGCCCCCTTAATGGTTTTATTGGGATTAGCTTTGTTCTTGGGGATAGAATCATCTATTTCATTGATGTTGTGGGGAAGTTTTCTAGGCATGAAAACTTAAAATTTCTTCTAAGGTGGTTTCAGTTTTGTTTCTATACCATTCTTGTTGGCCACCTTCCTTCTTAGTTCTTATCCTCTTTGTTCTTTTCCTATCATCCGGTGGTTATAAAGTTATCTGAAAAATGGCTGAGAAATGCTGTGTTTTTGGGAGTAGATTTTTTTCAGTTATAAAACCTTACACAGCTGTTTTCTTGTCTTTGTAAGAATTATGGTTGCTCTAGACTCTCTGTTGTTGGACATGGGCTGGCCTAGTTAGTTACTGGCTTTTTTTCTTTGTTAAGTTGAGCTGGATTGAGTAGTGGTTAAGTTAATTCAACATCTTGGTGAAGTTAATTCAGGATCTAGGTTCAAATAATAAGGCAACGATAGTGATTGATTGGAGGTGGAGTTAATTCAGGATCTTGGTTCAAATAGCAAGGCCACGTTACTAGTTATTCGATTGATTAGAATAAGATGTGCTTGTAAAGTCATGTGATCATGGATCTGGTTCCTTTCCTTGCTTAATATCATTCACAGTTGTATATTGCAAGGATAATTCGAAATGATGAGTGAAAGTTCTCATCTCATTTACTTTTGGCTCTGCTGTTATAATTGATCTTGAAGAACGTTAGTGTTATGTGCAAGGATATCATCAAGAGTTCTTCGTGTAATCTCATGGTTATATATCCTTGAGTGTGTTCTTTGGATGATAATCCTTGAAGTCGCTAGGATAATGAAACCAGTTAGAAAATTCAAATTGTCCATGGAATAGAACTTTCCCATCTAGAGGTGATTGATGTTCTTAAGGAAAGACTCTTTTGCATCAAGGGGTTAATCTTTGATGATTTATAAGATGTGCTATGTGCGGTGCTTACTATTTAAGTTGAAAAAGGAAGGTAGATGGATGGCTGTTCCTATTCTGGCCTTATTCTCACCTACCAGAACAGTTTTGAGCAGATCTCGTCCATGCTTGAAATCTAGAAAATCGGAGCCTTCCTTGTTTCTTCCAAGTTTCTTTAAAGGATAAGAACAGCCTACCCACATGGCTAAAACTCTTCAATATATTGTCATACTTTATTTACTTCTAAGGCTTCGGTTTCTTTGATCTGTTTTTTTATATCACTTTGTAGAACAACCCATATATTGTTTATGTCTGAACCCTTTTATGCAGCTTACCATTCATGAATTCATTTGTTCGGCCCTGTAATGATGAGACACCTTTGAATTTATTAATATATCTAACCTCCCCAAATACTGATGGTTATCAAAATATGCCTGCCTTCTTGCATAATTGTATTCCATTGTAGCAGAGATAACTGTTATCCTGATCCACTGATTTATGCCTAACCCTGTTTCTTTGGCACCACTGATTTATGCCTAACCCTGTTTCTTTGGCACCACTGATTTATGCCTAACCCTGTTTCTTTGGCACCACTGATTTATGCCTAACCCTGTTTCTTTGGCACCACTGATTTATGCCTAACCCTGTTTCTTTGGCACCACTGATTTATGCCTAACCCTGTTTCTTTGGCATATTTTCAGATCCAAGGCAGCAAAAAATTCGCGACTTGAACCAGACACCATGGCCTTAGACCAATACATGGAAGAAACTGTGGCTCAAAATGACTATAATACAGAAGATAAGCCATCACTGCCAAACTGGAAATCTGTTTCTGAGACAGCCATAGATTCTGATGATAGCCCCTCCAGTGGTTTTGATTGCAATATTTGCCTAGACTCCGTGCATGATCCGGTGGTCACTCTTTGTGGTCACCTCTACTGCTGGCCCTGCATATACAAATGGCTTCATTTCCAGAGCATCTCGGCAGAAAACCAAGATCAGCACCCACAACAGCAATGTCCTGTATGCAAAGCCGAAGTTTCCCAATCTACAATAGTTCCACTCTTTGGCCGGGGCCAAACCACAAAACCCTGCAAGGGCAAAGCCCCCAATCTCGGTATAATCATTCCACGAAGACCTCCTGGTCGTGCATGTGGTTTTGACTCACCAAGATCACCTATTGCCACCAGCAGTCCTCGCGTAACACCGCAAATTCATCATCGGCATAATTATCCGCATCAATCGCAACACTACTATTCTCAGCCAGGGGGTAACTCTACTTCCCCGATGCGAAGCCCAGGGGGCTCGACATTGAACATGCCTGTGCGAGAGGTCGGGATGTTCGGCGAAATGATGTACTCAAGGGTTTTCGGTAACTCGATAACCAACATCCACAGTTACCCAAATTCGTATCATCTTGCTGGAAGCGCCAGCCCAAGAGTGAGAAGGCATGTAATGCAAGCTGATAGGTCGCTCAGCAGAATCTGCTTCTTCCTCTTCTGCTGTGTATTTTTGTGTTTTCTCTCTTTCTGACCGAAGCGTTTATGTTTTTTAGACGTCATGTATACCTGTAATTACAAGTCCAAGATTATACAGATTCAGCTCGATGCGCTTTTAGATGTTCAAGAAATTTTACTTATCCCGTGCTGCGATATATGTAATTATGAGTCCTTTATCTTGAGCTTTATCTTGTAACTTGATGGAAAATCTTGCCCGTACTGTTTTGGCCAGATGAATGATCAAAGATTTGGAATCTCTTTCTTTCTGAGAGTTAAGAACTAAGGAAGGGGTCCAGTGTTTTTGAGGTTAGAGTTACCACTGGGACGAAGGCCCCCAATATTGTAATAGTTGTAGTTTGCTTGAAGCTGAGGTTTTCTTCCATTGACACGCATTTTCCTATAAAGAACTAAAATCTAAGCTCACCCCCCGTCAACTCCACCTGGGAAGCTTACCTTATCAGGAATGTCATATGCCTGCACTCAGACAAGTACCACTATGGATGTTCTGTTCTCTGCATCAAATCCAGCTACAGACAGAGATGCGCATTGGCTGGAGGAGCGTATGCTAAATCTTCTTATCTAGAACAAAGTGAAGTTGCACTGTCACTGACTGGCATTGATTGTCTGATGAGCTACTTTCCACGAGTTAATTTGTGGTGGGGATCACGGCTCTATTAATTTAGCACCCCATGCCTCAATGGAATGCCAAAGAAAAGTCCGCAGTGGCCCGAAATTAAGCCACTGAAATGTCAATTTTTACCCTGTGTAATATTGATGATGGCTGATGGGCATAAGCTGCCATGACTGTATCAAAGGATAAGATCCTTGAAACTTTAGAATTTGAAACGTGGGAGGCTTTTTTTTTTTTTTATTTTTTATGTGGCTAATCTCAAGGTTGCATAAGATGATTTCAGTGGTTAAAGATACAAACCTAGAAATAAGTCTGGATTCCCTTAATAAAAAAGCATTTTCACTCATAAACTAAGTATATTAATGGGTTTGTCGAATTCTATGATATTAATATTAAGGATGATCTCTCTCATGTTATACCTTTAATATTGCTAATATTGATAGCTATAGTAAATATATTGGTTATTAACTTCAAAATTTATAAAGATTAATTAAAATATAAAAAAGTTGATTTGGATACCCATATATATATATATATATATATATATTAAAAATGAGTTTATTTTTCTATTTTAAAAGCGTGTTTAAAAAAATAATTTTTTATTTTAAATTAATATTTTATATATTTTTAAATTTTTTAATACGCTAATATTAAAAATAATTTTTTTAAAATAAAAAATATTTTTTAATTTATTTTTATATAAAAAATATTTTAAAAACCAATAATTATAATAATATTAAATAAAAAATATATAAATGATGGTGGTGTTAAGTGGTGCGATAAAAAATATTGTGGGGTACAATGTTTTTATTTTTAAAAAGAAAAAAAAATTTAAGTGATTAAACTCTAAAATTATAGCTTGATATTATAGAAAAGTTAAGAAAAGATTATGACATTCTCTAAAAAATTTAAAATTCAATAATTGAGAGAAAACTAGGTATTTATATTAGCTAAACTAATTAAATCCTTGTAAACTTAACACTTAAATAAATATTATAATAAAAACAATTACGCCACACATAATAATCCAAGAAAACGTGTCATTTTAGCCTTGTAAATCTGGAAGTTGATCAAATTTGACTGATCGGGCTCAAGGCATGGGAAGGAGCCAAAAGAGGTCACTACCACCATTGAAATGAGGTCACTTCTCTCCTTATTTAACTCCGAAAGGTTGCAGCCAGGTTTGAATGGAGTTTGCATCTCTCTAAAGCCAAAATAGTTCACATCCACCCCATATGGAGCCTGAAATTATTTGTTTAAGAAAAATTAATTAAAAAGTTTTACATTTCAGCAATTTAAATTGAATTATTTCACTTTACAAAGGGATATTCGTGGGTATCCAATGGGTATTCATTTCCTAGGATTATTTATTAATTAATAAAAATAAAATAGTTCATATATATATATATATATATTATGTGATGTTAAAGTATTTATATATGTATTTAAATAACAAATCTAAATATTCCACTAAAATATTTATATAATATAAATATATGTTTTAGATTAAGTTAGATAAATTTCAAGTCAGTTTAATAATATTTATACTCTATTTATTATCTATTAGCTTCATAAGATTCGTACCAAGTTAGGTTAATAATCATCAGATTAAATTTTCATTCATAATTATAAAGTTTGGTAATCATAAAAAAAGGGAATTTACATTTCATGTGATCCTCAAAGTTTTTAATCTTGGCCTTTTTGATCCCTTTACTAAAAGTTTGGATACTTTAACTTATTTAACTTATTTGCTTTAAATTTTTAATTTTTTGGGTAATTCTTTATAAATTAATCTTTATTATATATTAGACAAATATACTTTTTTTATTATTTTTATTAATGTGAGTGTTTGAATTAATTTACGTATTCTTAAACTGATTTTATAGACTTTAAAATTAATAACTATACAAGTTTATACTAGCTCTAAAATTTGTAAAATTTAAATTGATAATTTCTAGAAAATAAATGTAAAACTTGGATTAATTAAGTTATACTTCTCAGTATTCTATTGATAAATTTAATAATATAAGTGGTGGAGAGGCTTGGATAACAACATGAAAAAACAACGTTCGTGTTATGTCATTTGTTGTCATATATTCTCAAGAAATTGTTGTTTGCTTTGAATTTTTAATTTTTTGGGTAATTATTTATAAATTAATCTTTATTATATATTAGACAAATATACTTTTGTTTTTGTTTTTATTAATGTGAGTATTTGAATTAATTTATATATTTTTTAACTGATTTTATAGACTTTAAAGCTAATGACTATATAAATTTTTAGTGGCTCTTAAATTTATAAAATTTAAATTGATAACTTCTAAATAATAAAAGTTCTAAATGTAGAACTTGATTAATTGAACTATACTTTTAAGATTCTATTAATAAATTTAATAATATAAGTGGTGGAAACGACATGAAAAAACAAGGTTCGTGTTATGTCATTTCTTGTCATATATTCTCAAGAAATTGTTGTTTTGAGTGGTTAAAGAGCTTGTTTCATTCATTAATTTATAAGTTTAAATATTAAGGTTAATATCTAGAAGAAAAATATTAAATTTCTCTTAATGTACTTAGATTAGGTGGAAGATAACTTTTAAAACACCAGATATTTTATTCTATAATAACTATGGAATTTTATTGATATTTGTATATGGTTGCATTTTTTGCACACAAATATATATATATATATATATATAATTCAATTAATTTGATTTATACCTACATGTGTTTACATTCTACTAAACAATTATTCTTTTTATATATATATATATATTAATTTGATTTATACCTACATGTATTTACATTCTACTAAACAATTATTCTTTTAACGAAGTACAAAAAAATGAAAAGGCCAGACAATCACCGAGCTCTGCCCCTGTTTATCTAAGTACATTTATGGTCTATCCCAGAAAGTTTCTACGTACATTTATGGTCTATCCCAGAAAGTTTGGAACAAGATCTATCTCACAAATAATGGTCTATTTGTATATCTCCAAGGATCTTTTCTAAAAAATATATATTATGACAGAAAAGTGTGATTCCTAGCAATCAAAATAAATATTCCAGGTTAAATGCTCACCTATATAATCAAGCGAAAGGAATGCCATGATCAGACAGTGTTCTTAGTAATTGAAAAGATTTCAGGATATTATGAAGCTTTTCACTGAATAGAAATAAATAACGATCCAAATCCTACCAAAACAAACGATTCAATCTTCTCTTTCTAAGGTTTAAAAACAGTTCCAGTAAACAAAACTACGTCGGACACCTCTTCCTTAACCATGAAGATGAAAGGATGATCTGCGATATAAAACATGGAAGTGGAGGTGGTGGACAAGGTTGTCTTGCACCTCCAACCATTATAAGAGCACAAGAAGCAGCAGCAGCTTCTGTACCTTCCTCGTTTACTTCAATAAAAGATTTGTGAAATATATGTGAAGCGTGCGTAAACCAGATGATTAAGAGGAGAGTCCACCATCTCAGTAAAATCCCCAACAAGCTTGAAAGGGAATTTCATTCCCAATTTTTCCATGCTCTTCGAAGCTTCAAATCTATATGAGAACTTAAATTTCGGAACCCACATCTTAGAAAGCTTTGAGATTCTTTTTTAAGAATATTGTTTGATCAGAATTGAAATTTTGCATCAGATCTTGCAGTCCATCATGTCTGTCAGGAAGAAAGATATGCATAGGAAATTGCTTTTTGTCTTGATAAATTTCATATGGAAGTTTGAGAATCTTGAAACGTTCAAATGATCCATAAAATTAGCTTTCCCTGATGCTTTTCATGAAAGGAACCTTGACAGTTGTTCCATCGAGGAGGTGAAAGTCTTCATGCCGAGTCCTTGAAGTGTCAAAAGGACGACAACATTGTCCTTTGAAGTAGAGTTCATTTGCAAGAATGAGTATCGTATCTTCATTGATGAAATTACCTGGTGGGATAAGATCTTTGACGAGTCCTTTTGTTTCATTTTCTGCCCACGATAGTTCACTTCCTTCCTCACTTGCTCACCCTTCACATAAAAAAGAAAGAATGAAAAAAAATGCTCAACAGTTTATTATACTACTTAAATTCTACTGATCACATAGAGGTTAATGACGTAAGACGTATACAAAAATCCATGTTTTAGTCTTAAGGACTAGGGTTTGTATTCAACAAACAATGTATCGCTGCTGGATTTCGACTCAAATGTTTTTTTCTTTTAACAATGGCTTTTATAACAGACAACCCCTAGTTGCTAAATATCACTTAGGACCCACAATAGAACTGCTTGTTTTCTTGTTTTTTGGGAAAATAAAGAGAATAAATCAGGTCATTGACTGGATTACACCCATTTAACTCTTATCCAATTTAATTTAAAACCATTAATTTTAGTATGATTCGGGCAGGTACGTTTGCAAAGCATGGGCTGACATGTTACAATTTCTCGAGTTTCATAAGGTTTCATAAACGCACACCTACGTCTTTCAGATTGTGGCCTTGTCATCCAAAATCTTTTCACACCAGCAAGGCTCGTTTATACTTGTTTTAGTGAGTGGAATTTCACACCAGCAACGCACTCCTGGACGTGTAATGGATAGTAATGATGGTATTTTATTGTTCTATCGAAATGATGATGACACTGTCTTATGAGCTGCAAATCTTGT